AGGGGGAAAACTGCTTCTTGAAAAGAGATGCTCCAGTTTGGATTTGTGGCAAAGCTGTCCTGGGTCTTGCTCTTCAGATCCACGCAAAGGTGTGCATTTGCCTCATGAAGGCTTTTAGAGTTCCTGTTTCAACAGGTGAGATAATTTTGTGTGGCAATTGTTCGCGCAACTGGTTATCTTGCTCAGGGTGGGAACCTTTGTAGCTAAATGTCTCCAAAAGAGGCGTTTATTGGTTTTTTTAAGCTGCACTGACTGGACGCCCTTTTTTGAATCCACTGTATATTTCAACATTTTGAACCATGACTAACTCGACATGTCTCGAGCTAGGACTTGTTGACTTCTACTGTAGTTTTTTTTCATGAAAGTTGAGAAGGCCTGGTTTATGGCCTTTTGTTTCTTCATGAGAAGGTGTGACACTGCCTAAATGTTTCTTACTGTGAAACACACAGAACGTGAGGCTGCAGTCAGGGTTGTTTCTGGTGTTTTGATAATGGCTTGCATGCTGCTTTCTAGTTATCTGTTTGTCTGAGAAACAAAGTTACATCATTTCCTCCACTTGTGTTACTGTAGTGGTTGGTTTGATTCCGAATATCTCGTGGGCTCTTTATCATGTGCAATATATATGTTCCTGTCATATAAAAAAACCCAACAAATGAACCAACAACAAACCACAATTATGGGTGTAACTACAGTTAATTTACTGACATTTGATAACTGTATCATTTCACACATAATAAATATTCTTGTGTTGGTACAGATGAAATATAGAATGACCACATGTCATTATGTATTTGAAAGGAGGTGACTTGAAGGTGACCCTGTATTTACCCTTGGTGTTTAAAAATAACTGAAGTTGTAATTAGTTGGTTATTCCGTTAATGGGGAAAAAAGAAATCTTCAGACACTTGTGATAGTTGGGGAAAAGAGATTTAATACTTGACCAGTTTACAAAAACATTTCATATTTTTAATTTGCAAATAATTCTTATTCTCTTCTCTTGCATGGTATAAGCAGCTGAGAGCAATGCCTCAAATAACCAGAAATGACCTTTTGTTTGTTGATACAAATTGTATCTCTTTTTCTTGATTGTATAAAAACTGTGTATAAAAAAAATAATCTCTAGATTAACTTCAGTATTACATTTTCACCACAATGTTTGTGACACCATGTGTCACAGGGAAGTAGCCCATGAGTAATTATGGATTTTTTTATTTAAAATGGGCACTTGTAGTTTATAGACAAACAAGGACAACTTTTCACAACCAGGTTTTATGTGCACAGATACTGCGTGTACATCTCAAAGCATTACATAGGTATCTTCAGTCTATTTATTAAGCAGATACATTCTTGCACTAAACTTTATGTAAAAATGTTGCTGTTAGCTCATCTGCATGTGTTTAAAATGTATCAGTAATTGCTATAGACCTTACTTTATTCTAACATTCATTTATAAATTATTTAGGTATGATATGAAGTTTATTGTGCACTCATGTTTTCCATCTTGCATGGAATTAGATATTCGTATGCAGAAAAATGTTTGTTTTGTTTTTCTCCACTTATAAAGATAAGCTATTTTAAGAGAGGTTTAGTAAGTGTTTTTGATGTTTTCTAATGTGGAAAACCAAGCGGAGATTTCTGTATGAAGTGTTAGGTGGCTTACGGAGATACCCATTTTTGTATGATTTGTCTGGTCATTTTTAATTTTCACTAACCTTTGTTTTAGTGATAGAATAATTCCTTTTTTAAAATGGGAATGCTATGCTAATACAAACCCAGCAAACTATTTCCCTAAGGCACTTCAAAGGCAAATTTTCTAGGAAGCTACTCAGCATCCACCATGCATAGTTACAGAATGGGCAGTGGAGCCTTGTGGAAATAACCTGCAAATTTTGTGCTTGTTTATCCTCCTTAGAGGTAATGAAACTTTTCTATGTGATGTAGTCTTTCCTGATCAACTACTTTAAGTGATAATTCAGTCATCCACATCTGTTTTCAGATATGTTTACAAGACAATTCAAAACACTGACCCATTCACTAATCTTTAGCGCATAAGCTTAGATTTCTTCTTACAAGGAAGAGTTGATCTTATTAACACCTGATCATAACTGTCTATATTGTAAATATGACTTCATATAAATGCTCTTTTTGAGAGCATGGTATTTAAATGTTCTTAAAACTGTAAGAGAACAGTTCTAGAAACTATATTTTAATAAAATCCATGAAAATACAATTCCAGATGAGGGGGGAAAAAGTGTGAAGGGAAAATCACAGACTACTGCAGTCAACAAGAGTTAAGCAGTAGATTTTAGTGCTTTACTGGGACCAGAGCATTCTCTGGGAGTTCTGATTTACTTACCTTTCATCTTTAAATATATTACTTTCACATAATTTGTCACTTAAAAGTGTGTAACTTTAAACTCATAAATCAAAAAACAAATGCTTTATGGGATGTCAGTCTAAGTTATTTAATGTTTTTTTGTAAGAAATTCATGTCTGTAGTATAGTAAATTGTAGATGATTTCACTGCTGTTAGTCTGTTGTTGTCATATTGAGCTGCAGTAGTTGGCTTTATTCATTTGTTTGTAGAATTAAACATTATTGTTTAATTGTTGTAAAATTTTATAAATCTCTTTGGGTTTTTTTGGTTGACCCAAATATAATGTAAGTCTTAATGACAAAATGAGTGAAAATGGATGTTAAACCAGTATGTGGTATTCTTAAATCTCTGTAGAAGTGTGCACTGCTCTAAGTTGTTGCTGCATGTAATTTATTTACTAGCATGAGTCTGTTTAGCTTTTGAAAAAAATGCTTTAACTGTAAACTTAAAAATAGGTGTGGAGTATGGTTGCTTAGAACAAGTAGAAGGAGCCTCATTGAAAAAAATCCACAAAACCAAAACATCTGTCTAGGCGAGTTTCCCCCCTACCTACTTTCAATGCCAGTTTGTCTCAAATGATGAATTTTGGCATTTTGAAATTCTTAATGATAAAGCCAGAACATATAAAGAATTTGTCCAAATTATAAAGTTACAGAATACTTGGTGTCGTGTGCATACCTGTGATGTACAGCAAACCACAAACAGGAACACCTGATTATTGCAATTTTTGAAGCTCCATGCTAAGGAGAAGGAATGTGCATCATTTCTGTGAAGCTTTGCTCCAGAGTTGAAATGTTCCTTGATCTTGATTTGCCAAAAGTTTACCTGAAGCATTATTACTCCAGAACTCATAATGGTCAGATCTTTAGATCTGTCACGGTTACTTCTATGGCAAGTGTTCAGCTTTAATACTCCTCTTACGTACCCACAGCTTGTTTGTGTGACAGAGCCCTCATTAACTGTATTTCCTGCAATATTTCAAGTGGAAAAAGACAAGTGTACCATCACTTTAATTATTCTCATGCCAGTGTCTGGTTAGCCTTTGAAGAGTCATTTTACAATACTGATGATTTTGGTCTGTGGTATTTAAAGTCTGAAAATGTATTAAAAGAACTGCAAGAATCTAAAAGTACAGGCTATCAACTGTTCCCCCCTGCTCTGTGTAAACGTTTTGCACAATTATTTAATAATATGAGATGTTATAGTTTATATATATAAAAAAATTTTCCTTATTTAATAAAACTGAGAGCCATTGGATTATATGTTTCTAGCTTTTTTTTTTTTTTCAACCCTCTTCAGACAAGAGCTCCAAGAAGCTGTTCTATAAAAAAACTTCTTACCATTACAGGTTCATAACAAGGCTGCATGAGTCTGTCCAGATTTTCTTAGTATTTTTTTTTAGCTGATTTATTGAAAAATCCCAGTGGCAGACACACTCCAAGGGGCCCTTGGTGGGAACCTCTACCAAAGGGGAAAAAAGTTACATATGGTACAGTATTTGCCAGCACCACACATTCCTTTTTGAATTGTATGCTTGTTTGCAATACAAAATACAATAATTTAAGTAATTTCATACTCTTTGAAATGCAGTAATAAAAGAACAAATCCCCTTCACTCAGAATTTCCCTAAGTTTGAGTAACTGTGGCTAAAAGGAGAAAGGCTTACATGAAAAATCCCTCAGAAGTTTGTTTCCTTTTGCATTGGTACTGCTTGCTTTTAGAGAAGGAAATGAGCAATGTATCTTCCATTTTAAATAACTTTTGGCTGTCTGGTAACAAGCAACTGCAGTAGAACAGGAGAACAAAAATTGAGAAAAGAAAGAATAAAGAAATAATACATTATGGATATCTAGCTAAGCCTTTACTTGACAGCCCAAAGCATCCATGAATTTGCTGTTGTAAACATGCATTTCAATCCTATGCAAAGTACTGCTAAAGCTGTCCTTTCTCCCTTTCTATTGAGATGTTCCTCTTTCTGATTAGTTTTTAAGACATCAAATTATTAGACTGACTCTGAGAAAGCCTTTGTATTACCCTCTAGCAGATGCACTCTAACAAAGCCTTACTAAGGAGTCCTGCAATAAATACATATTTTAACCCCTGCGTTTTTTACAGGTAATTGCACAAGACTCCCAAGTTCTGAGAACCTGTAATACAGGTAAAGAAAACTGAATTTAGGAAAAACTATCCAGAAGCCTTTTTTCTCCATAACTTTTCAACAGGGCACTCACTCAGGTCCATTTCTGCAGTAATCATACCAGCTCTCAGCAGAGACCACAATACTGGTTATGAACCTTAGCAAAATTGTGAACAAAAATAACATCAAGCAAAACACTTCATTGAAAAAGAGACAGTAATGGCCTCAAGGTCATCACTTGAGAAAAATGGTGACAAAAACATCTGGAAGGTATTTGTGCACCAGAGTGCATTCAGCCATGCTATAGCCAGGATTGATCCCTGAAGCTGTGTGAAATCCAAGCTAGGTAAAAATTGTAGCATAATCTTATCCTGGCAAGATTACTCCTACAGGACAGTATCAGCTCAATAGTCTGGCTAATGAGGACCAGAGGACACTTTCTAGAATACCTGAATGAGAATGGAGAAACAAGAACCAGGAGGAAGGTTTGTCTTCAAAGTCAGTTGCATTTATTAACCATGAAAAAATTAAGGAACCTTGAGGGATTCCAAAGTTCTCTTAACTGTATTTCGCAAACATCAACTAGAGTTAAAGGTTCATGGTAGTAAGACAATGGTTACTATACATGGAACTTAAAACACCTTTATAAACCACTGATTTTATAGGGTAAAAATCAGTAAATCACAACAACAACAAATTATTTTCCCACCACCATTACTAGTTCTTCCATCCCACTTAACTTGTGCAATACTGAAAGTCACAGAGCTCTCTGATGCTGTCTCAGAAAAGTTGAAGGCCACTTTTTATTTTATGGAAGTCATTCTGGGTCCATAACAATCCTCCTGTCCCATGCGTTTTCAATTCTGCAGAGCTATGAAGAAGAGAAATAAAGCACATAAGAACTGAGCTGATTTAGAAGCTCACATCACCAAAGTTAATTTTGATAGCATGTTATTTCCACAACATCATTTTTCTTTTTTAGCTCTGAACATTTAGCTGCTGGAATGTCCTTAGTTTTTAATCAGTCTGTTCAAGAGAGGCAACAGTCCTAAAACACTGAAGGTACCAAGGCACAAACCAAAAGTAAGGTTACCAGCTACTGACAGTTCTGAGGGACACATGACTGGAGAAATAACCAGAGAACAACTTTCATCTGAATCTTCATCTGTCCTTTGCAGCTCATCAGGTGAAATGCTAACACAGCAAGCAGTTAACATAAGAACAGTCATCACAAATTACAAATGTTACAATGCCTATCCTGCACACCAATACTACCCATTCCTATGGTTTTAGGAAGAAGTTGTGGGAACCAGTGCATTTACAGAGACTTTCAGGAATGCAATCCCTAAAGCAACAGCATGTCAGCAACTGCACCCTCAGAAAATGCTCCTAATGGTCATTATTTGCCGAATTTGCTCCTGCTGTCAGGGAAAACCGAGCACTGGGAGCTAACAAAAAGCACATACGCTTATCACAAAACCAAAAGATCTGCCTGAGGATGACAGGTTCAAAGCTTCAGAGGTTGCCTCAGCAACACTAAACATGAACTTTGACAACACACATGCACAGCATACACCAGAAAAACCACCAATAAACACAATGTTTTGGAGCCAGGGAGGAAGGAACTGTAACCTTTTCCAAAGTATCTAAGCATCTCAGGAAATTGTTAAAAACAAAGAGCTCTGAAGACAGAAAAAAATTCCTGCAAAAAAGATTGAGATGTTGGGGATGTTTTATTTACACAGCAACTTAACTGACTATAGGAGAGGCTGCTTTTCAGAATTCCTCAGAAACTAGTAATTTCTCCTTTAAGATCGAAACACCTCTTAGATAGTCCCTGTTCAGATGAAACACTGCCAGAAGGCTGGCAGACAAAGCCAACAACAGAAACATCACAGTTCTCACTATAATGACCTGATGTCTTCCTCTTGCTGTTGGACACTATCCTGAATTCAGCCTGCTAATGGGTTAATTTTTTTCTCTGTTTTGATGCATTCTCCTCACCATTCATGACTATACAGACCTGTTGTCATTCCTAGGACAGGGACTCCCTGGACAGACACTGACATGCCCCTGAATCACAACCACCCAGGAACGCTCCAGGCTGGGGCAGAGGGGCCAGAAAGCAGCCCCATGGAAAAGGCCCTGGGCATGCTGGTGACAGAGGCTGACCACGAGCCTATGGGTGCCAGGTGGGCACAAGGCCAATGGCACCTGACCTGTATCAGGAATAGCGTGGCCAGCAGGAGCAGGGCAGTGATTGTCCCCCTGTACTCAGCACTGGTGAGACCATACCTCGAATCCTGGGTTTAGTTTTGGCCTATTTTTTCCAATAACATATCTATCTGCAAAGACGGCTAAATATAGTTTTGGCTGGATTCTGCTCTTTTTGAACTGTTTTGCTTCTCTGAGATTCGAGCTGTTCTGTTTTGGCAACAGCATGCTCGTCTTTGGGAAGATCTGATGGTAAAGCAGAGAAACTGTGTGCAAAGGGTTCCCCAAGAGGCCAGTGGGGGGGAAGGGGAAGTGTGTTGAGTGGCAAGGAAAGAACAAAAAAATTACTTCTTCAGGAGGGGAAAACATTGTGGATAGCTAGGCTGTTACTTTCAGCATAGAGGAAGCATATTCTCCAATGTTTTGAACCTCCAGAAACAGCAACAAAAGCAGAAAAGAAGTCAAACAGGAATTGAGATGAGCTATTAATTGTCTTTCAAGACTGAGTTTATCTTTAAAAACGAAGGGAAATTGTAGCTGAAACCTCTTTTTCCTGGTATACAATCAAGTTTTGCTACAGATTAATAGGAATTATTTAGTAAGAAGCACAGACCTCAAACAAGGCAGGCAGAATTCAGGAAGACGTTAAACAGCATAGACTAAACACATTATAAGATCACCAGGTATCCATTCTCATCTGTGGACCCAGTGAATAAGGGCTGCAACAAGAGATTCTGCTTCTGTCACATGACTTGGCCAAAGCCCTTTTTCCTCAAATTAATGTCAAACTTCATGCTCCAGGAAATCATTTCTGCAGTTCATTACCTTGCTTTGCATTGGAGCCAGACAGAAAGACAAAAGTCACCGCTTTTAGAAAGGGCATGTCCCACTGCCTATGCTACAGATGCTTTTTCCAAGCACCTTATGGATATTTTCGAAGAAAAACATCGTTTCACAATCTCTCATACCATACTTCAGTACTCCTTCAGAAGTATGGCAGAACAGCTCTCTGCAGACAGAGAAGTTAGAGGGCAGTAGCAAAGAGAAAGTAAATAGCAAACACTCCTTCTGGAATAGGCCATGCAAACACCTTTGATGGGAAAGCAAAAAACTCATGTAGCTACAAGACAGAGGACAAAGTTTCTACATAGAAAAATACACCAGTAGTCAAGAAAATCTGCTCCCTTCTGCCTCGGGCAAGTGATAGAATCACACAATCAATCGGGTTGGAAAAGACCTCCAAGATCATCAAGTTCAACCCTTGATCCAACTCCGCCATGGTTCCCGGACCATGGCACTGATGCCATATCCAGTCTGACCTTAAAACACCTCCCGGGATGGTGACTCCACCCCTCCCTGGGCAGCCCATTCCAATAGCTGATCGCTCTCTCTGTAAAAAATTCCTTCCTAATATCCAACCTAAACCTCCCCCGGTACAGCTTAAGACTGAGCCCTCTTGTCCTACTGCTGGTTCCTGGGAGAAGAGACTGACCCCCACCTGCCTACAACCTCCTTTCAGGGAGTTGTAGAGAGTGATGAGGTCTCCCCTGAGCCTCTTCTTCTCCAGTCAGTGCACTTTTCTGATGCCACGTATCCTTTGGGAAACGGAGAAGCTGCTATGCAAGGGAAATAAGAATAATGAACAAGGTGCTGTTATAACACTCCTGATGAAACCTGGACTGTTTCCAGGTACAGCTACAGGAATAAATCAGGTTCTGCTCCTTTCTATTTGTGGTAACAACAGGTTTTCCTCATGTTTCTTTCTGAGCTTTTTTCCTTGGTATCCTGCCAGGCTGTTATCTGAGTGTACCAAACTGTCTGCCCCTTTCCCCACACAAAGAGAAGCAGAAACATGTTGCCTTTGGCCTGGTACGTGCTTTTTCATTTTCTACATGGGTATTTTCTAATCATATGAGCTGCACGACATATTACACTGTTGAAAAAACAGCCAACTGGAAGCACCACATGTGGAGAAAAAGAAAACCACCTCCTTGGCTAAATGTAGAGGAAGCTTTTGCAATTGCTCCTGTCTGCATCTTAGGCCATGTGGAAAGTGATTGCTGGGACAGAGGGGAAAGCAAAACCTGCTAGCTTTGTTCAGAGTCTGCAACATGAAGCACTGAAATCTATGTATCTGGCTCACAGCTTTTTAGCCTGCAATCAGTATACTATCAATCAGTCCTCATCATGACTAAATCATATTTCAAAATGCAGTCCAGCACTATCTGATCAGCCAACACAAGAGATTGAGTTTGCTTTTGACAGAAAGAATCTCTCAGAGTCAGAAGAAAGTTGTTACAAAACGCTATAGAAAGTCAAAGTCTTTGACTTCCTTGTTGCTTGTGACACGCTTGCTGAAATGGTTTACTGGCAGTCCTAGAAAGAACTCTCAGTCACAGAGGTGAAAGGAGGGCATTATACTTGCTAACCCATGAGAACTCTGCAATTTAATGAAAATAAAAGACAATTAAAGACTTTTTTCTCTTGTGTTTCTTTACTAAGATCTGTAGCTCCAAATTAGTAGCTACAGCTCTGAAAAGATCACTGGGCGCTGCCAACATATGGTGGCTGAAGAGCTCCAGTTAACAGAAACTTAAGTTTTCAAGCCTGATGAGGCTGTGCTAGTAACTGCTAAATAGCAGTATTTCACTGTCCTTGCAGTGGTTTCTTTTAAAAAAGGGCAGGAGGAGTGAAGATAGCAATATTATAAGATGGCTTCCTCAAAGGATACCATGGAAATCACATTTTTGACTACCAATTATGCCACTGCATTTAAGTCTCAAGATAGTTTGAAAGACCCAAGGAGTGCAAAACAAAAGAAGGGAATGAGAACAGGAGCCATTATAAATAGTGTCTCTCAGACTTAATGACAGTAAAAGATGGAGACAAATGCAAAGAGGTAAGTTTTGAGAATGTTCTTTCATCGTCAGAAAGTGAGATTATTAGGGCTTCATGAAGTAACTTCCCATGACACTGGTGAGTTGTCACAGCAATCCAGGCAGCAGTAACTTCTGTCTGATTTTATCCATTATGCAAACACACTGTCAGGCTAATGCAGTACAAATAAGCAGGGAGAGTTTCCTGTTGCGGTGGGTGAGGGTAAGATGAGAGCTGGGTTAACCATAGGATGAATAACTGGGACTGCAGTGAACAGAGCTTACTCAGGAAGTGTACTTCAGTTTCCATTTCAAGCATACAGAAGAGAGACAGTTTGCATTCACTAATGTGAAACTCAGCATGACACCAGCCATGTACAGCCAATTCTTTCCTCAGGTATTACAACAGTAATTGCAGTCAACCATTTTCTGTGGGCAACCTTATCACCTCATCTTCATGCTTTCCCACTAATGCACCTCAAAGTGCTTCTGAAAACCACTGTGCATTTCAGAATGACTCCTCCTTCCTACACAAATTCAGCTAGTCTAGGAAAACTGACACTGGGAGCAGCTAAGTGACTTACAAGGCTTTTAGTCTTGAATGCTTTAACTGTGAGGCCACAGTCGTTTCCATAAAAATTATTCATCCCAGTGTACCACCAGGCAGATTCTCCACCAGCTCTCAGTAGCTTTTTTAAAAAATTCTGCCATTCCAGGCTAGTTACTCTAAGGGATCAGCAGACTGTGTCTTACTTTAAAAGCATCAGACAACACAAAGTTTTCAGCACAGTCTGAAGAACAAACTGTTATACTCTTACACCAGCATTGCAAAGGTCCTTCCAAACACACACATTACTTGAAAGAAGCACAGTTAGCGGGTATTAAAGACAGTAGGAGATATTAGATAGGTCAAACTATTTACTTAAACAGAAGTAAAAACAAAATCCCAGCCTTAATTGTTCCCATTGTATAGTACAAGGCACAGAGAGATAAATGCATTTCATGGTTCAGGACACCATTACTCACTTTGTATGAAGAGACTTCCACTCATCTCTCACTGGCTGATCAAGCAGCGACATCATAGAATAATTATCCAACATGAGACCATCAGGGTCATCTGTCTGACCTGGGAGTTTCCCAAGAGGAAAGTCTTTCCATTGTACTTCATCTAGGTAAAAACAGTACAAAAACAAGGAGTCTGACCTTCCCAGAGAGATTTTCAGAAACAAGATTCCCCTACCAAGTCCACCAATACTGCCCCACGCAACTCAGCCATCCAGCAAAAATGAACAATCTCAGGTATGCTGCAAAAATAAGTTTCAACTATAGTTGTAACTGATTTTATTTCTAACCTTACTGTCTCTTCCAAAGACAGTCACTGTAGTATGTAACAGCAGGGACATATCTGGAGTCATGGAATATTCACTGCAACTCACCCAAGTCACTGGGAAACAATGCCCATTAAAAGAAACCCCACAGTATTCTGGAGCAACCCTTCACATTACCTTCCTCTTTTAAGAATACTTTCGTTTGAAACATACACATTCACTTACCTATGATAATTTTAAGAAATTGCTCTGCATTATTCTGTAAATGGAAAAAGCTATTTGTACATACACAAAGAAGCATTTTGTACACATGCAAACCAGCGTCTTTGCATCCAGTAGCTCATTTCTCTGGTGAGACTAAGTATCAGCTCCGTAGCAACTCCCTGAGATGAACAGCAGCACAGCTAAAGTGCCAGTAGTGACTAAAGAAGAACTGAAGTCGCAACAATAGAAGAGTATAGGACAGCATAAGGCTGGAGAAGCCTAAATAACCAGTTAAGCAATTCTGGACAAACAGGTGGGCTGGGATGAGATAGCAAAGAAAAAGAATATGACAGTCTTGAAAATACAGCATCTATGGCTGTTTCTTCTACATGACTTCACATTTGCTAAATTTGACTTCCAGTGGGGGCTAGAAATTGTGCAATGAAAAACCACTGACCACATAACATCAGTAAACCTGTTTCTTTATACTGTGGGGCCAAAACTTCAAAGACAGTTCCCAACAGGGAAATTCCTCTTTAAATTTCATTCTCATTTCACATCTAAGAAATTAAAGATATAAATTATCATTGTCATTGTTTTCAAAATAAGATTTTTAAGCCCATGTGCTTTCTTGATACCAGAACACTAATTTTTGGAACATCTACTAGCAGCTCAGCAAAGACCAGCAGACAGAAGCTTTGAGAAGGGACTCCACACCAGAAAGCCAGCAGTAATTTCACAGACTATTTAAGACACCTGTTAACCACGTGCAACTTGGTAATTTCCTTCTTTTTGACTGAAAGTGGTTAATTTTCTATAACTGGTATCTGCTCAAAACCCCAAGCATTGCCCTAGAAGAACCAGCATATTTATTTGGCTTTTATTTTATACCATTCTTGGGCATTTAATAGAACAAAAAAAATCTTGACATGGGATAGTGCTTTCTAAGTGTTATAATTTTACAATTGAAAGAGGGGCAGAAATAGTATGTGGTAACATCCAATGCAGCTATAAGGCAAACTACCATTATAGATATTAAACAGGCTAAACCCTTTCTTTGGGAAACTACCTAGTAAACAGTTGATATGCCACACGATGTCACGGGTTGGTATATGCCTACTGGTTATAGTTTCAAATTGTTTAAGGATGGTAACTACACAGATATTACTTGTGGAATATTAAGTTTATATTTAAAAAAGTTCATATAAACAAATGAAGTTTATATAAAAACAACTTCATAAACAGAATCTTCACCAAAGTCAGGTAGTTCAGGACACAATGTGTGTTCCTTCAGTAAAAGCTGTGCTTGATCTGAACCAAAGTCACAGAAGCAGAGGACAATTTTGCTTTTGTTTTCAAAACATCCAGCTCTAACAAGCTGTTCTTGTCAGCTTAACTAAGATCTCTGGGGTTTTTTTGACTTGAGAAAATTTCCCAGTGAACTGGGTACAAGAGTTCATTATCTTCTAATGGCTGCTTTTCTTCCTTTAAGTATCATTTTGACTCCAACCCCTCTCCATCAACTTCCTCCTTCTGTGTTCAAATACCTCCATAAATCACTCATTCAAAATTCTTAAGCTACAGAAACCTCCAACCCCAATGAGAAAGTACAGCTACTGTAGCAAAGATAACAAAGCACTGGATACATTCTTAATTCCTTCTAAAAACTGGCCTTGCTCCTTTCTTTTGTTTGCCACCACGTCATAACAGCCATTTTCCTGGAGCATGGATCTTAGGTTCACAGCCAAACTGTGCTTTCAAATTCCTACAAGTCTGGCAAACGCAAGTCCAAGAAACATCCATATTTTCTTTACCATTTCCAGCTGGCACATATTCTGCCCCATCAGTTGGATACACTGAAATTTTAAACAGTTTGTAAAAAGTCTAACAAAAAAACCCAAAAAAACCAATGAGACAGTAACAACGTGCTCCTGGAAAAGACACTCACGGGGCTTTAAGAGCTTAAGAGAAATTACTCCTGCACATAAATGGAAGACTCAAAAAAACCCAAATTTTTCAGTAATTTGGCATTTAGATGATTTCAAAGCACACTTCAATTATGGCCAGGCCCAAAAGGCTGAGATGTCTTTCCATTTCAATTAACATTTACTAGTGATGAAGACTGTCCAAGTTTTGCAGAGTCACTCTTTACCTGTAGTGATCTGCCAGGCGGACCCTTGCAGTGCTGCTCTTCTCTCAGCAACAGCTGCCATGTTACCAGGATGAGCCAGTCCTTCAAAAGGATTTGTTTCAGTTACCATCTCTTCTTCCTCCTCCTCCACTTCCTCTACATCATCATCTCTCTCCAGCACATCATCTTCTTTCTCTACAGTCTGCCCTTGATTTTTAACTTGATTTTCCTGCCTGACTCTCCACTGTAAGCTCTCTATAGTGTAAATTGGATGTTCACTGCTGTCTGAAGAGAGGCCTGGACTAGACAAAGGGGCACCTCCTTCTGTGTAAATGGAAGCAAGATAGAGAAGGTTCTTCCGAGAAGTACGTGACAAGCGAGGCCTCATGATTGTGAGGATCCTAGAAAGGAAAAAGTGCAAAAGAAAAGTCTTACAAGGCTTGATAAACCTTCATCTGGAGTCTTTTCTGTTTTTAAGTGTTTGTTTCCTCCAGGACAGCTGGCTCATATAGCTCCTCTAACAGGTAAAATCTAATAATTCCCTGATCAATGGATGCTGTAATACTCTCTCTTTGAGATTAAAATTAAGGACTTTGAGATACTTCTAACTGAATTCCTGCTTTGCTGTTTTCATGTGTAAAAGTTACAAATTTACCACAGGTGGTATCACCTCTATAAGCAGTCACACCTCTACTTTTCTTCTGACCAGGTTGCTTCTTCAGTACCTCCCCAGATAACCTCTGTTTTCATTTTGAAGGTGCAATCCTTTTAAATTCTCTTCCTTCTCTTTGTGAAATCAGTGAGGAAATGAGTAGCAACAAGCACAGCTTTATATGCACATGTCACAATTCCTACTAGAGGCAAAGGAAGGAAAGGAAGCTATAACTCAGTGCATCACTAGGGAACCAAAGCTGTTACAGAGCACTGTTTCCTGTCCCTTTTCTAGGGCACAGGATCAAACTTACAGCTGAAGAAGATGTGGGGTTGCCCAGCAGGGAGCTTCCAAGCAACTGTCAGTCAGTCTTATCCACTGCAAAGGAACTTTATGGAGGAACAGCTCCTTCACGGACACCTGTTTGTTACAGTGTTGTCTTTTCTTCCCTTCAAAGAAGATAACGGAAACGACAAGGTGCTCAAAACTATGGCCTTCACCCCGCTGCATTTTTACTGAGGAACACATCCTCAAATAAGCTGGCATTTCAATCCACGTCCACAACTCAATATACTGACCAAACACATCAAGGTTATAAGAGATGTGACAGTGCACTGACAAGTAGGTTGGCTCCACAAGACCAAACTACAGCGAGGTGCAGACCTTTCCAAGATGGCCCTGTGCATGTCACCCCACACAGGAAAACCACAAAATGTGTTTGAACAGTATTATCCCAAGTAAATGCAGCATACTGCATCTGTGACCCAGCACCATTGCAGGCAGCTCTGCAATGAGTAGAGTTAACAGGTGTGAATGAGCACCACTTGGGGGTCTGGGTACATAACAGATGCATGCTCAGTGATGAGTGAAAGCACGAAGTATTAACCCACAACTACCTGAGATGCTGGCAAAATCTTTGTGCAGTCTGAGCCTGACTAGGAGAGGACAGAAGAGGCAGTAAAATTAACCAGTTGCAAACCTCAAGGATTACACTAGGCCTATATAGAAGTCCTGTTCACAGAATACCTGTGACACTGAATAATTAAGGCTTCTCATTGCCTGTCTCTGGAATGAAACAAATACAGTTTGCATATTTTAACAGCTCTAAGGAATCAGGAACTGAAAACAAAAAAACTTACTACTTTTGCGTAAGTTTAGAAGGCATAGAAGTCCTGTGATATGATCAATAAAGGACAGCAACACTATTTAGTATCTTGTAAAGGCAGGCTTCTGTTAAGGGAGGAAAGAATTGGGAACAGGGAACAGATTGCATGTAACATCTTTATTTGTTATGTGCTACTGTTATTGTCTACAAGTACTGATATCTGGAAAAAATAACCTGATCTTTCATATGAGAGATTGGCTTTTCCTATCTTGAGGAAGCTGCAGCAAAGTCATTAATAAAATTTCAATTTTTTACTAAGAAATGCATGAAATGCATAAGATGCAAGTTGAAAAGTCTAAGAAATGCAACAATAAAAGCTCTATGTTCACATGATAAAATGTACTAATTAAGTTACTACACTTTCTGTCTAAAGTTCCCACCATTCCCCGTTTTCACACTAGTACAGAGGAGACTCTTACATTTCTTTAAACACAGAAATTCCAGACACACTCACCAGCATTTACTTTGGCAATGCCAGTCAGCAACTCAGAAATCCAGCTGATCAAGAACTGATGCCTGAGTTCTGAAGAGTCAGAACATTCCTTCAGTTCCATAAACATTTTCTCTATTAGGATCTGTGTAAAACTTCGTGAAAGGAGGCCTGTCAGCAAAGGTTGCCAAAAGCAGTAAAAGGTCTGAGGAATTTTGAACTGCCATACCTCTTTATTTGCTGCAATAAGAATTAAAAAAAAAAAAAAAAAACAAAAAACAAAAAACAAAAAAAAAAACAAAAAAACACCAGAGAAGCCACAAATTAGTGTTTTGTAATATTTTGTGAAACAGGGGTGTGACACTTGCACCAAACTGACGTGGTCTGTTCTAAGATCATTGGTTCCAGTGTATTTTTGGGATCCTCACTGAACCTGAAACTATCATTTTTCTTATCTAGAGAAGTGAAATAAGCAACAAATTGATCATTAGCACAACAAAATTATTAGCACAGGAAAATCTACCTGCTTTGCTAGTCCCTTTTTGGTTTTAGCTTATTTCACACATAATTAAGTCCTATTCTGTTTAAAAATATACTGCAGAGAAGATACATTGAGCAAAGCAACATAGAATAAAAAAGCTCCTAAATATTTACTACTATAATATAGTCACTGAAATTTGAGGATCTTTCTTGGAAAGTTCTTTGGCTATGAAATAGAGAATGTATTAATTTTCACTCCCTATAGGTATCTAATTCTCTTGCAGAAAAATCCATGCAACTTCGCACATATGGGCAGCAGCTTGGAACTAAGATGCAACTGGTGAATGAGGCTCAAAAAACCCCACCCACTTTGATTTGCTTAAAATTTTCAATGTAGAAAAGAAATTAGTGGGAGTTCATGAAATCAGCAACTATTGCATAAAAGGGTAGAGATGCAGGCTTTGAAAGGTATTTTGGCTGGGCATTCAGAGCTGAAGAGCTATCCTTCCATACTAAGAGATTTATGCAAAAGCATTAGCTAAGCATGGACCTAAAGGCATCTGGAGAACAGGTCAAAAGATGTCTGAGGACCTAGATGTACGAAAAATATGCTGCAGGGAATTACACATTACAATATAATGGGTAAAAAAGAACAGACTTGGTCAGAACACTAACTGTGCACTTCTTACTTGGGTGGTGCCCAAAACACTAACCTTCATACTTGATATTTAGCACCTTCAGACAATCCATCTTTGGGATGAGAAAGCCATCACTGAGAAGAGCTTCAGCCACTGATTCCCTAGAACAATCAGGGAGACTTATTAATGACACTTACTCTTTTACAAGTCAAAATATGGCTTGCACCACTTCTGAAACAAGTTTGAGAGCCAAATACCTGGAACAATTAGGAGGGAATAGAAAATTTTGCAAGGCACTAAAATCATATGCCAGTTTTGGGTTGGATATATCCTATTCGACTTGGAGGAAATGTGCAGTTGTACAATCTGGAACAGAACCGGAACTATGAAGGAAACATTTCCATTTGAGTTACAAATATCCTGGTATTTCAAAAGCACAGGAACACTTATACTGAAATACCTATGGGGTATAATCCAACTCTGCTGCTAGCCGGCCAGCCAAGATCTGAGAACCTCTGACAGTGCTACGTCAAATCTCAGGGGGAAAGCCAACCCTCTTGACTTGCTGGTACAAATCACACCTTGTAGTGCACACAGCTGTTCAGCAGATAAGCTGCAGTAAGGTCACAACTGTTCTTCCCTGCAGCTTTTTTGGATGTCTCCTGCTCTTATAACTATCCTGCAAACTTCAGTTAGCCTGACGGCACTGAATGATCCAGGATCACTCCATCTTCTATTAGGCTGGCTTAATGAAAGTGAAGTCTGAGGTTACCAACACAGGTAGGCTACACCAACTCTTGAAAATAAGATACAGCAAAAGGGACAGAAGTAAAATTTCCACAACTACCCCAATATCCAGTATGATTCTCTCAAATTCTTCTGTTCACACTTCTATCCATGAGCTTCTACACCCATGCAAAGATTTGGAATGGTACACCCATGTCAAACACGGCATATTTTGATAATGGATGAGAAAATTTGTCTTCTGCAACAGGAGTGACTTCCAACTCTAAACATCCAGACGTGACTTAGATACAATGCTGCATTTTTATAAATACAAACAGCAGCTGAAGAGCTCAGTGTATAGAAACAACACACACATACATGCTAGACCACTTTGTCGTAAGTAGATGATGTGATGAGAGACCAGAAAGCAAGTGGTAGAATGTAATTTGTTTCTAAAAACAAAATCCAGTGCAACCCTTCTCCTCTCTGGAAACTGTTTCAGTATCATTACCATTAATCCTACATGCATGAGTGTGATGGTTTGAACTTGGCTCCCTGCCAAATGCCCAAACCCCAGTAGCAGCCTCCCTTCCTTCTTCCCCCAGAGCAAAGGAAAAAAACTATGTAAATTGCAGAACTCGAAAATCCAACTAGTTATATAAAAAAATATATATATTTGATGTATATTACAGTTAAGATGCTATGTACACAGCAAAAAGGAATCCAAACACCCCCCGAAGGGATAGGGAAAGGGGAAAAGGAACAAAAGGAGACGAAGGGACACCAAGCAGATATACGTAATCAAACTTGAGAACTAGTAAAATAACTAGTAAAACAAATCTCACCACGTCCCTTAGAAAGAAGTAGCACACACGGCCAGCACTCTGCTATCCTCCACGTGGCAGGCCAGCGGTCACTGCAGGCCTCAGCCTTAGATAAGCGAGACCAACGCAAGGACCCACTGTTCCCGTACTCCACTGGAAGAGAAGAGAGTGAAGGCCTCTCTTCCCTTCTTATTTATACTCCGATTTACGTAAAAATCGTATGGAATACTGGGAACACTGCCTCTTCCTTGGTTACAAACTGGTAACCAAGGAAGGCCTAGATTAAAACCACCACAATGAGCAATCACCACAAACTATTGAGGACATCTCCTGGTAGATGGCAACTTCAATAGAGAACCATTAAAGATCATCTGGTCATCACAAGGTCCACTTGGGCAGTTCTCAGAAGTGGCAGCAGAGGATCCTTTGACAATCGCTCATTTTCCTTCAGGTCTAAAAGAATCTTCTGCCCTCTGCACAGTCCAAATTGCAGGCTATGTTGATGAATTAAAGGCTTTATTTCATTACACAGTCATTCTAAATTAAGAAAGCACTTTCATAGGCCACTTGATATATTAGAATATAATTTGCAAGCTCATAACACAACACTAGGTGGCACATCTAGTTTCCAAACATTAGTTTTCCAAACCTAATGAAGTCACAATCTGTCAATGCATTCCACCCCAGCCTTCCTCCCTCCCTCTCATGTGGCCTATTTTCTATGAGCGAAGAACCAAAATTTTTCTCTTCAAGGAAAGCAAGAAGCTGAGTCCTTTAAACACCTTTATGCATCTTCAAAAACACATAGGAGACTGCAGGAACAATCCTGCCTTCAGTTTGGAGAAGGAAAGTACTTCAGGAAAGTCCGTCCTTCAGGAAACTAGATTCTCACAGAGAAGCACAAAGAACTGGGGAAGCCTCCATGTGATTGAGGGAATAAACAGTTACAGACCTCTGTGTTCACAAAACACAGTAAAGTACCAAACTAGCTGTATATAACCTGACACCCAGTTTCTGGGGCTTTCTAGAGCTAAGGCCACTCAAAGGAGCAACAGTGAAGAGAGAGCCTGTAAAGTAAAAGAACTAAGGCGAGAAACTCCCTGTCAAAGCTGTTCTGATGCAGAAACATGCGAAGTTTCCCAGAGCCTGGACTTGTGGAATGAGTATATAATATATAATGGCCAGTCTTCACGAGTGAAGATCCGGGGAAGGTCTTTACACCTTCCAGCCTGCGCATTGGATTTTTTAGGTGAGACACAGTGTGCGCGGAACTGAGCCCACCCTTTAATCCTAAGGTTCATCTGCCGGGGCCAAGCGAGCTTGGACGGTGGCAGCGAGGTCCTTAGGACGTAGATGGGTTGCCTTTAAGGGCTAACGAGCTCCACCTGCCCAGGAGTGGCCCTGACCGGGAATCGAACCCGGGTCTCGGCGGTGATAGCGCGGCGCCTTTACCACTAGACCACCAGGGGCTCCTGGAATGAGTACTTACTGGAAATAATACATACACACATGCTTGCGCACACATATAGACACAAACACTCCTGCCAAAATTTCTCTCTGAACAGTGAACACACAAGGTTGTTAAATGAAATTGCAAAATCTCTCTGCAGCGGCATCACTACTGAAGGGTTTGGCCCTTGCTAGTTTTGCAGGTCGTGAGCTGTGAGTCATTCTTGGTGGCTCTAAGTGAAAGATTTCCCCACATATCAGAGCAGTTATTTTAATGAAGTTGCCTGATCATCAGGACTCACTCAGGGAACCATGAAGCAGCTAACAGAAACAAAACCCACAAGACAGGAAAAAAAAACATTTTTACAGTCAGAAAACAGCTTTGTCCACCCTGTTTTCTTTGTTTCATTTGAGGCCTGTGCTTAAGGAAGCTACCAAAAAATCCTTATTCAATGTAGCACAATACAGTGAAGACCAAGTTCTTATTAAAGCATTACTGCTTTGATAACTAATGCTTAAGAAATGACAGATTATTTTAGAGATGATATATCATCAGAATTTTTTGTTCAAACAAAAGGTCTGGTGATGCTGTTTTTCTTGCCCCATCTTTGCAGTTTCTTTAGGCCACACCTGGAACTTGAGTTTTATACCCTTACCTAAGTGACTGGCTGGATTTCCAAATAAAGCTCTCAGAAAACTGACAGTGAAGGCTTGAAATGAGATGTGCCACCTAGTTCCAGGATTTTCACAGATAGATAACAAAGTTTTTAAACTGCTTTAATTTTTGAAGCAGCATCTCCTCTAGGCATTCACCTAATTGGGGTTCAATATACTTTGTGCAGCTGCATGGGACAAACAGCGAGAGCTGATGTAACAGGCAGGTGCAATAGCTTTCTTCTACCTGTACCGTCCAGTTATTTAGAGACAGCTGAAGTGATGCAGAAGCCCCATGTTTAGCAAGTTCTGCTTCTCATTACAGAATCTCCATGCCTTCATGCTTCCATGCTCAGCAACCGATGGGCAGTCCAGGTTTTTATTCTGGCACAACATCTGATAACCTCTTGAACTAATCAGCAGCTGGTAGGGCATATATATTTATATTGAAAACATCAGGAGCTACAGTTTTTATCTCTAACATGATATTTTCTCCTCCCTACAGTTACACTGATTAGAATTCCCAAAGTGGTTCAAGATCTTCATGCAAATTGGCATGGTGAAAATGAAGTCTCAACACACTGCATCCTAGAGGGTCTGTAGTCATAGAAAGATAGAAAATATAGAAAATGCCAAGTATTGTCCTGCAATTTTGAAGAATTCTAAAAGTTACTGTGAAATCGAAGTCTGTACAAAGTTGTTGGGAAAGCTTCTGAAGACACTGAATATGCTGACGTGCCTTGGGGCCAGCACAGCTAAGTCTGGGACAACATCTTGGAGACCATCTGGAACGGGGCTACAGGCACCGTATCTTTCCCCTCAGTTATTTATTAGAGATGTACCTGTTTTCCTGCATCAGGTCTTTGATCTGAGCCAAAATCCAATCCATTTCTGAAGAGGAATCAGACCACAATTCTCGAGACTTTGAAGCAGACTGCATAGTCTGCATAACCTGATTGAAGGAAAAAATCAAGCATTAATAGAAAATATGCCCCAATGGCAAACATAAAGATGTTGCTCTGAAGGGAAAATGCACATGCCATATGTACTTCATCAACACCACTCAAAACAGTTCACAAAGGCTCCTCTTCCTAGGCTTATAGCAAAAATTAATATAAGCCATGTCGTACTTGGAAAAGGCCTGAATTAAAAAGACAGGAGCATCAAGGAGTCACAGTCCTGGTTCTAAATCTTGCTCTCCCTGACTTCAGCACAAACCAGGACAGGCCCATTTTGAATCATTAACTCAGCATGTGACATGGGGATTAGGTTGACTACTCAGGACAAGGTTTTGCCAGTCACATTATACACACAGTAGGTCAAAATAAAAGCCAGATTGCACCAAGAATGAAAGAGGGAATATATAAGGTCAGTACTTGAAAGTTAGTGGTTTCTTCATTTGATACATATCTTGTCTGAGTCTGCTCAGCAAGGTAAGACCTGCCTTCTACTTATGCTCCCAAGCTACCCAAGAAGGTAGTTCTACCATCAAGACCTTCTACAAAATATTGGCATAAACCCCATTACATCACCAACAGGTATCTAGCCAATTCTTTCCTGGAAAGAAATAACTACTGAGAGAAAAGAAGAAATTATTTTTCCTGCCAAACAGGAATGAAATGTAAAATGAGACTGAAAAACCAAGGTGTTATTTACAGGACTGTGATTAGCTTTTCCCTATACGCAAAGCTACCACTAAATGCAAAAGATACTTTAGATGATAAATCAAATATAAAGGCATGACCTAAAGTGACTAAAGAACCTCTAGCCCACCCATATGAACAATCAGACAATGAAGTACACAGCCCCTGTGACAGAACAATATTTTTAGCCTATTTTACACCCTACAGAATTATACATGCTTTTAAATTTAAAAAGTAGCAAATAAAATAGCTGGAGAAGTATCTGAATCAGAGACTCTACAGTTACACTGCTATAAAGATGACTTAGGTATAAGTAATTCTCCTTCTTACGTGAAAAAGATTAGAGACACGCTATGCATTTATGCAGGGAAACCAGCAAAGATACTGTACCACTCTTTCTATGCAAATGCAAGGCGATTTTTTAAACTTTGGACTAGAAAAGCTTCAAGTAATATTTACTCGATATTTGGAACATTCAGTTGCTGTCATGGTTAAGAAATTATTTGGATGCACCAAATCATCTGAACATTAAAGGGCAAAAGAAAAAGCCCATGTCACTTTTTTCAATCCATTTCTAAGTTTCTAAGATTTTAACAGCCATAATCAGTTTTAAATTAGAGGTCTACTGTTGTACAGAACAGAGTTCCAGAGGCCAACAAAGGACCAATTTACATCTCTTAAAATTACTGAAAACAGTTATTAATACATAAAAATAGTATTTTTTTTTTATTAAAGATAAACTTCAGTTAAGCACTTGCAGGTATCAGCCATAAGGGTTAACACTCGATGTAGACAGATCTTGGCAAACCCTTTGCCCACCCTTACTCAGTGAACCTCAGAGTGGCAAAACCTGCATATTAAAAGAGGCTATATTGACAACATATGTACCTACAGAGCATTTGTTTTTCACAATTCCACAGTACTGTGCGACAGCTGACAGACTTAGAAGTGCAGCACTTGCAATCATTCGACAAGAAAGGCAGCCTTGCAGGGTGAATAGACAGGTTTTATAAGCACTGTGTGCAGCATTCAATTAAATTGAGGCATCTAACATAGAATCATAGAATCATAGAATTAACTGGGTTGGAAGAGACCTTCGAGATCATCAAGTGCAACCCTTGATCCAACCCCACTGTGATTACTAGATCATGGCACTCAGTGCCACATCCAGCCTCATCTTAAAAACCTCCAGGGACAGAGAACCCACTACCTCTCTGGGCAGGCCATTCCAATGCCTGATCCCTCTCTCTGTAAAGAACTTCTTTTTAATATCCAATCTAAACCTCCCCTGGCAGAGCTTAAGCCCGTGCCCTCTTGTCCTGCTGCTGATTGCCTGGGAGAAGAGACTGACCCCCACTTGGCTACAACATCCTCTCAGGTAGTTGTAGAGAGTGATGAGGTCACCCCTGAGCCTCCTCTTCTCCAGATTAAACAACCCCAGCTCCCTCAGCCTTTCCTCATAGGACTTGTGCTCAAGTCCCTTCACCAGCCTGGTTCCTCTTCTCCGGACCTGCTCCAGCACCTCAATGTCTTTCCCGAACTCAGGGACCCAGAACTGAACACAACACTCAAGGTGTGGCCTCACCAGTGCTGAGTACAGGGAAAGGATCACTTCCCACATCCTGCTGGCCACACTGTTCTTGATGCAGGCCAGGATGCCATTGGCCTTCTTGGCCACCTGGGCACACTGCTGGCTCATGTTCAGCCTCCTGTCGATCAGCACCCCCAGATCCCTTTCCACCTGGTTGCTCTCCATCCACTCTGTCCCCAGCCTGTAGTGCTGCAGGGGGTTGTTGTGGCTGAAGTGCAGACCCTGCACTTGGCCTTGTTGAACTTCATCCCGTTGGAATCAGCATTTTATTTGCTCAATTTGCTCAATTATCAGCCTTTATTTGCTCAATTTCAATGGGATAAGGAATTTCCCGTGAACTTTAAAACAAAGGTTTGCAATAACTTTTTAGCAATTGACTCACTCCTTTCCTCCATTCAACTGCGATCACTTTAAATTTTGAAGTTGCATTTTCCTATTCAATTTGAAGTACTTCCCTCTATTCTGTTAGTATGTTAAGAGGTCACTCACCACACATATTCAATGTGTCATCTCTACCATGCAATTCAAAACATACAAAATAAGCCAGTAACAAATACAGAAAAGGAAGGATAAACAAAGGAAAATCACATTATATAGTCCAAAACCAAGACAATGACGGAAACTGGATCTTCATTTTCAATAAAATTCCTAACACTACCTCTCATTGCTGATTTAAGTCTACACTTCACTGGAATGTTAGCACTCTTTCTCTTTAAGCCTCTAATGATATTAATCAAAATAAAAGTGAGAACAGCTCCCCAGTAACAACTGGTCATATCCAAAGACTGCTGAGAGGGTCTGTAATCCAGCTTTCACCACATCTCAAGAACTAACCCGTTAATACAAAGAAGAAGCTGAGGAAAGAAAGATTTCTGGAGCACATTATTCACAAATACGAATTGCAGCACCTCAGCCACTGGGTCACTGCAAATATATACTATGGATGATAGAAAACATGGACTAATGACTTCTGAATGACAGACCTAAATTTCCAGAGGCTAGGATGAATGAAAACAAATTGAGCACTATCCACTTGGACATGGAAGACTTGGGATCTCCAATAAGTACATATCTCCTTTATAAACCTGAACAAAGTGTTCACATTAGAAACTATCACAGCTCAAATTGCTTGTTTTCTGTAGAGAGGCTTTTCTTTGGGAAGCTATGTGTGACAACACTAGTAATGATATCTGAACAAGGAACTAACCAAGACAACACAGAAGATGTATTGCCCCCAGCAGGAAATGAGAAGTAACGAAAGTGCTGATAGTCAGAGTAAACTTACCCGAAACTGCTCATTCTTGTAAGATGTCAGAACATCTCTGACTTTTTCTAGAAATAAACATAAATATGTAGTTTAAACAGGACATCAGGTATAGAAGGGAATTTTGTCTCTAAGCAAGCTGCTTAATTTTGCTGAATATACACTCAGTGGAGGTATCAGTCAAATTACACAGAAATTCTGATTCAGACAACACACCGAAGACTCACAAAACTCCCAGACTTTTCCAGCAACATAAATTTTCTCAAGGGGGTTGAACCACAGATTCCATATTTTATCACTTATAGTGGTCAAAAACAGGCAAGTTGGATAAATCCAGACAGCTCAAAAAAAAATCCTTGAATAGATCAGTTTAGGAAGAAATTGTTCCTATATGCAGTTTATGTTCTAATGCATACTTGTATTCCTTATACTCTTGGCCCCGGCAGATGAACCTTAGGATTAAAGGGTGGGCTCAGTTCCGCGCACACTGTGTCTCACCTAAAAAATCCAATGCGCAGGCTGGAAGGTGGAAAGACCTTCCCCGGATCTTCGCTCGCGAAGACTGGCCATTATTCCTTATACTTGGATTTTGCATCTATTGCAACAGCACTATGGCTATTTACAAACCAATCACACTTTAATGAACTTTAATTTACCATCTGCATGAAATGTCTTTTATCTGTGGACCACTTTTACTATACCTGAAATAGCAACATCTTCCAAAATATTTCACCATATTATTGGTGATTGTCATTGTCGTCTGCTAAGAGGGTGTCCACCACCCAGTATCAGCCAGATAAAATTTCAAATGCATATGAATTGTAGAACCGATATACCATTCCCATTCCATTACTCTGGACATACACTTCACAGAATCTACTATATCATTCTGTGATTCTCTCTTTCATCAACTGGCGGTGGGATATTCTTTTTTTAGGGTAGTCAGGGAGAAGAAGGAACAGCTCATGCTTGGATCTCATTCAACATGAAGACAAAAGACCAGAAAAACACTCTAACAAGAAAAGTGTTAAGAGTTGCTCTGTTCCAAAGTTTAGTACCACCTTTAGGTTTGGATTGTTCTAATAAATGCTGTATTAAACTCAAAAAGCAGCTAACTTTTCTGGATCACAGCAACTCTATGTATATAGAGTCCCTAAGAGAGGAATTTAGAAAAGACTTGAAACAAATACATAGGTCCTAAAGCCTGAAAAATCATTAGTCATGTAGTGTGACCTTCTAGGGAGCAATTAGCATCACTTCAGCATTTTTGTACTCTCTGGGCCTCGGTCTGGGCTGCTGTAATGGGTTGGGCAAGTTACTCCCCATAAGTCTGCCATATTTTGTCAGAAAAAAAATATGACTAATTTGTTTTACTGTTTGAGGTACTGTTTGATACTTCATATGCCTAAAACTTGCAGAACAGACATCTAACTGAACTCTCATTTCCTCCACTTAGTCATTCAAACTAGAAATTCACTTTGAGAAAAATCCTTTATTTTGGGTTCAAAGACTTCTGGTGATGAAAAAGTAACCACTGGGAACAGTTTACCAGAGACTTCCCATTTTTCTGCATATAGTATCTCAGATTACGCCCAGGTTGAGTTACCTGTGATTTTTTTTTTAATACTATCAGCAGTCAGTGATTTTTCGGTCCACATGTAAAGTATTTTGAAAACGGCTAAATTGCTTTTATCTTGCTCTCTCTCAAGTTAGAATCTACAAAGTTTTGAGAGCTATAAAAGGACTATAACCTTCTTTGTCAGTAATGGTCTCATGACCAAAACTGTGCCTATCAAAACGCTACAACTAATTTTTACAATGCTTTCATCCCAGTATAGCAGTTGCTACTGATTATGATACTGCATATTTGATAGAAGTAAAGGATTTTATGTTACAAATTTGGTGAGCTAATACCAAACCAGTCAGTCAACCCCAAGTATCCACTGAGGTGCAGAGGAATCCTAAAACCTGAGCTGAAGCTAAATCTTTGTTTTATAATATGACACGTTTAAACTAGCACATCTAATCCTTTTATCTGCCATCGTTATAATAGGGACATCTACCATGGAATTCCTTGTGTTTCTGACAGGTCTCGTGCTGCGGGGTTTCAATCTCCCATGCCTCATTGCCCAACTCTGTGTTTGCTTCCTCCTCTTCCTCAACCTCATCCTCACTTCCTTCACACAAGTTATTGCCCAGTTGACGGCTCCAATATGTCTTTCGTAGCCAGTCCAGCACAACATCACAACCTAAAGGAGAACAGAAAATATTATCTTCTCAGTGAGGACTTATTACTGAAAAAAAATAATATAGGTGGCACATTACTAACTTGTATTATGAAAAGAAATGCTATTAACCAGTTATGAACCCAGAAAATACATAAAACTCCTTTAATGAAAATGTAAACAAGTAAAAAAAAACAAACAAAAAAAACCACAACAAAAAAACCCTGACATGAAACCAATCTCCCTCCCCCCGAAAAAGGAACCACAAAAATCTCCCACAATCCAGTATCACAGGCCTGGTAACATCCACTGTCTTTCTGGCAACAAAAAAGACTGGATGCTACTGTAGTGCCGCACCTAGTTCAAGCTACCTCAAATTTAAGCAGAAACTAAGTCCCAGCAGTGTCATTCTAATGAGAAAATGAGCCAATACTTCAGTATCACTGTGGTCAACATAGTGTCTACAACTATAACACAATATGTTTTTATGCAGAGAGCACACTAGGCATACATTAGATAGAAAGAAAATGCCTTTACTTCCATTAGAGTTTCTGTACCCAACTCAATCTAAGGACCCTGTTGAAAGTTATTTAACTGGTTCATCAGTACTTAACTCAAAATTCCCAAATGCCATGAGCTAGTCATTCATTCAGGTTTGCAGTACATACTGCTTTTCTCCCTAAATGAGATTTCTTTAAGAGTCTTAGGTTACCTCTAAATCATCAGGAAAAGCTTTTACCTACTTCCCCAAAATTAACTTCCTGTGCTGTAAAAAAGCCACGGTACCAAACTATTTTTTCCAGTATTTTTTTCAGGGGTAGGGGGAAGCCTCTGAACATCTTCCCTGTGATAGATTACAGCCTGGAGCTACCAGACACTGCTCAGCTACCCCCACAGGGCAGTGGCAAACCCTCCCTGTGTCTGACAAGCCCGCTGCATGCCCTGCAGACCCCCACACTGGAGGGAGGCATGCTCCCCTTAGGGCCTATGGCACTGGTTTTTCCACCCCTGCCAGTGCCACTCCCCCGGCAGCACTCACCCTTGCGGCATAGGGCCAACCGCGGCAGCTTCCCGTGGGTCAGCTCGTGACGCAGGTCCACCACCCAGATGGGGATATCCACCTAGAAGAATAGGCAGCAGATGTCACCCCACATTTTCACTGCATCGATGGGGACTATACGCAAGTAAATCAAGGCTTTGACCATATGTGATTCAAAAAGTTTTAATGATCATCAGCTTTTTTTAGTCTTAATCTGACTTTAAAGAACAAATATTTAGATACAGTTGCAGTTGGAAAGAACTGGCACCTATATCCATTATTTTTGTTACAAAAGAATGAGACCCCACAACTCCCTCCGCCCAGTGTTGTTAATAGACAATGCATGTGCTTTCTGTGTAGACATAAATTATCGAACAACTCTTATTAAATATTTACCTCTCTGGCCAATTGTCTCAGAGGAATGCTGGCCATCTTCTGTTTCCTTTCTGTGATCAAGTTGACAAACCTGCACGCATGTTACAGAAAATTACTATCAAAAGGTGTAGAGAAACTTGGAATCCCAAATTCCCCACATGCTGTGGTCCCAGAGACACAAAGTGAACTTAGCTGAATGAGGACATCTGCCCAGGACTTTGTCACAAAGCACACAGGCCTTCAGAGCCCTTACCTTACAAGTGCCAGCCCATAAGAGAGGATGAGCTCGTGTGACTTCAATCTGCCAGACGAATCCAGGACCTTGCAACGAATCAGTTCTGCAGTGCAATCCACTGCAAGAGGCATTTTTTGACCATACCTGGAGATAAAGAAAAAACCAGGTGAGCAGTCTCACACAAATACAGTCACCCTGCAAAAAAGGCAGCTTTCTGGCTAGTTTTTGTACTCTGTGGTACATAACAGCCTGAGAAACAGTATGTAGAGACAGCATCAAAGACTCTTTCCAGAAGGCTTCTATTTGGAACAGTGATTACATGGCTACTCCTAAGCACTTGTTAAATAAGGACTTACTGATATGCTGCGCACATACAGAAGACGCCTTATTTAGGCAGGTCTTCCGTATGGATGCGGCAGAGACAACACAGAATAAGGTTTGGGGGCCTTGTACGCTCACTGCCTCGAGAAACCAGCACGGAGGTCTTCTGCGTCCCCTGCTCTCCACGGGGTCACAGTGCGTCTGACAGGAGCTACACGGCCGGAGCCTCCGGCAACGAAGACGCCCTGCAAGATGGGGCCGCCTACCCGGCCTGCACACACTGCCGCGGCCGCGGAGCTGCTCCTGTGAGAGCTCCGCCCGGGTCCCCAGCGTCCTCCAGGCCCAGGACTGCGAGCGCCGAGCGCAGCCTGGGGCAAAAAGGTCAGAGGGGCCGCTCCGGGGACAGAGGGGGCACTTGGAACCCCGAGGTCTGCATCACGCTCCCCGCCCGCGCGGGCCCTACCGGCTCTTCCAGGCCGACACCCGATCCAGCGCGTCCTGCTGCAGCCGGCAGTCTCCGCAGTACAACCCCACCATCACCTGGTCCCACTCCGCCCGGCCCCTCCACGCCACCACCGTGCGCAGCGGCTTCAGCCGCCTGCGGCCCGGGGCCGGGGCCGAGCCCAGCCGCCCGCGGCGCCAACCCGGCCCCGAGCGGCCCGACATGCTGCCCGACATGAGGCCCGCCGAATCGCCCGTCCGCGCTCGCGCCTGCGCCGCTCCCGGCTCCCGCCTCCTGCCCCTCCCGCTCTCTGCGCCGCTCCCGCCTCCCGCTCGCGGGCTTGCTCGCGCTTTCCGAGTGCAGTGAGGGCTCGTCTCGGGTCCCGCCGCGGCCCAAGGGACGCGGAACAGGCGCATTGGCCTCTTGTGCAGCTGCGGGGAGCTGAGGGACGGCGAGGAGTGTCCGAGATCAGGGCGAGCGGAGCCATGCGAGGAAGCGCGGCCGGATGCAGGCCTTGGGGGGCTGTGGAACAAGGTCCCTGCGACGGGAAGGTGGAGACAGAGGCGGGCAGTGCACGTGTCTGCAGGGCCCTTCTGCTCTCGGGGCTGCGGGGCACGGGGAGGAGGCAGCTTACCTAACCAGATCACAGCTACTGCCACCGCCCTGCCAGCCTGCGCTGGGTGGATCTGCACTTGCAGAACATTTAACTCCGCTTGCATCATATTACACGTTTTTGCAGTAATCGAGGTAATAAATCACCTTATTTTTGAAGTTAAAAAAAAAACAAACTTTTCACTGATCTTTTTGCATAATCTCAGGAGTACACTTGTTTTAGACGTCAGGGGAGAGGTAGAGCTGAAACATGGGATGGGAAAAAAAGGTCTGGAGGTGGGATTCCACAGAAGCTCTGTGCACTGGTTTTGAGAGTAGAAAAGCTAAGCCTGCGGGTTTTGATCCTATCTCCAACACTGAAAGGGTAGCTTGGTCTTGTTATAAGTAAATGAAACAAGGCTGAAATATAGCAATAAAAATGTATTGAAGATTTATATAAAATGCAAATAAGCAAAACAGCGCGCTGGGCGGCTGGGAAGGCCCCTGCTCCACTCACGGCGCGCAAGCGCAGTAGGCAAAAACAGTAACTTTTATTCCCTTATCAGTTCCCCTCCCATAGTCACTTGTTATCCTTCTATTGGATCCGAGTTTGCAGGTCTGGTTCTGCTTGGCTTCCCTGCAGGCCCGTTTCAGTTGCCAGGTGCTTTCCTGTCCATAGTTTTAATTAGTCTTTAGGCCTAGTGTGTAGCTTAGTGTGTAGGTATCGCCAGATGTCCATTTTGGATACTCTGTATCGTTTTCGTTCTTGGCCCTTTGATCCTTGTCCTTCCCTTCGTTACTTTATGCGTGTGCTATGAGACAATAAGCTTTTTAGAAAAATAAGATACAAAATACTTATTCAGCAAGGCACAATAATTTGTCTTTCCAGCTTAAGAACTGCAAGCTGCGTGACTATCAGTTTACAATGCTGACAGATTAATGAACCATTCTGCAATTTACAGTCTCCCAAACTTAACAGAACATTGATTATAATAACATATATATATAAGAATATAACATGCAATACTATATAGGTATATAAGAATATAACATGCAACACAATTTAACGAGTAAACTACTACTACTACTAATTTGATGAGTAAATTAAACTACTACTACTAATTTATTACAGTCTTTCCCCAAAACTGTCAAGACTTTATGATAGCTTAAGCTTCTTTTTTTCAGTATTTCGAAGGAAGAATCTGTTAATCATCTTCACAAGCATTTTATGAACAACCTCTAAAGAAATGCTTATACTGGAAAGCTAGAATTTCTCTTATATTCTAGCGCAAATGTAGTTAATGAAGACACCACCCCTCCAATTCAGACTGCATGAGTATTCTTGAGTGTTTAGTTGAGACAGGTGCATCTGAATATGAGTGAACAGGGAAAAAAACACAGAGACAACTTCTGCCTCGTACAAAATATTTATTTTATTAAATACCAAAGATTATGGGAAAGAAATACTGAATGAGTTCTGTTAAAATACCATCTTTGAAAAATGCCTCAGTTCATTGTAGCTTCAAGTCACCTCCCCTTGAAAAGCCTACCTTGTTCTTTGGTGTTAATAAAAGTAGGCCAAATTGAAACAAGTTCATTACTCAAAGTATTAAGGTTGAGGGAGCAGGTTTGACATTCAATGCCAAAGCCCCGCAGTGCCTCATGCAGTGAAAATGGATTCTCAGAAGACGGGAGGCAGGGAAAAAACGCGGAACAGGATGTTGGAAATAGAAATGGAGTTGCACTTTTCATCTGCTTAAAATGTTCTGAGAGGACGAGCTGTTTATTGCAATCAAAAGGTCTTATTCAGAGCATAGGAACACCATGTGTCAGTTTGCTTGCCACACTGTTTCTGGGTTTTAGAAATCAGTTGCAATGCAAAGGTTGTAAAAGGCAAACAGTGCTGTGGAACAGATAGGATATATCAAGCTTGATCAGATTACCTGCTTTCAGAACCTCAGAGACATACCAGAAATCAAATTTAAAGGAGTAGTTTCCATTCTTACTCTCTGCGGAGAGGAAGAAGGATGTGAAGAGTTTAGTGCTTGTCATAGAAACAGCAGGGAGCGAGATCTGAACCAGCACAGATTTCACATGCTTTTAGAGTCTGGATCTAAGGAGAATTATGCCTGTGGTGTGTCTCTGTCAGCAAGGTTTGGCTATGAGGTTGCTCAATACAGGATTGGGAGGTATTGGGCAAAAATGGCTTGTTATCCAGAATATCCCACACAAGATTAGCAGCAATTTGCCATTCTACTTTCTGTAGCCTTGCTGTGGTGTTGGCTAAGAGAAGAGGCCAGGATTATCTGGATGGTTAGGGTGGGTGAGGCTATTTGCACCCACAGTTGAAGTGCTGGTGGGGATCAAAGAACCAGACTGCTGTCTAGGTAAAAGGCCTAAATGGAAAACTTATTTTTTTAAACATGCTTGCCAGGGTACTATAAGTAATGGCTTAAAATGAAAAATCCAGCAGGTGAACTGGTGAACTTCCTCCGTGAAGGGGCATGAATCTGCATTTCATCTTTATAACTGAAAAGGAAGCCCCCAGAACCTTCCTGAATAGTCTTGCTCTTGCTGGGAGTAAAGAATATCCTGCTTCTACTTGCTTTCTGGACAGTCTGAACTAAGCACAGGTGATACCTAGAAATGATTTTGGAACGTCAGCTGAAAGGAAATAGCAGCATTCCCTTCTTGACTGGGATTAGCAACAGTGTGCCAGCCTTCTTCTTGAAGTAATCAATGTCAAAAAATGCATTTAAAATCAGTGAGTAGAAAAGATTAAGCTTTGGGTCATCTAGAAATAAGGAAAAAGTCTTTTAAACCAAAAAAGAAGAGAGTGTGACAAGTTTTTTAACTGGATAGGCTTGTTACATATGTTTAATTTTGAAATAACAAAAGCTTTTAAGGTATAAGAAACCCCCACATCCCATTGTTTATATAGCAGAATGATGTGCTAAGATTATTTTTTTTAGTAAGTAAAAAAATCTGTACACAATAACATTTATATATTTAAATTTCATCAAGGTTGTTTAATTGCAATTTTGATTAAATTTTGTCGCTGTGATTTTTCTGTTCAGGATACCATTTTAAGGCTCCTTTATTTGTATTGAAACACGAGGTAACTTCCCTCTGTTCCAATGCAATTACAATATGCTTTTGTCTAAAGTGAAATTAAAAAACACAACACACCACAAAGCATATGAGAAGCTGGAGAGACAGTGTCAGTCGATAATATGTTTTTATTTTGAATCAGAAAAAAGTCAAAAGCTGGATATCTCTTAAGAATCAGGTTGTCAGGATTCAGTGGAGGCCAGCAGTTCCTGGAAGGTCAGTCAGCGAGCCAGGATTCAAGCATAAAACCACAATGGCCAGAGCAGGACCCTCATCAGCCAGGTACCAGGTACACAGTGCCAGGTGAGGTGTGCTGAGAAGGGCAGGCCCAGAGATGGCAATCAGACTCAGCCAAGACTCCCCATCATAAGGCAAGTTTGTTCTGATAAGGAGTGAATCTGCAGACCCCAATCAGGATCACATCCATTGGCAGTTATCAGGGTCACCCAGTCAAGTGATCACCAGTCAAGTCGCGAGTGAAACAATCACTTTGATAATACCGCAATGAGGCATTTTGATTGAGTAAACCCACCTGATTGAAATAAAGACAAAACAAGAAAAAACATCTGCATGTTTAACATGCAAATATAATAATGTATTGATACAGATATAATGTCCAAAATAAGAAAGATGTAATGAGACATTTTAGCTTATGAAAATGCTCCCATCTTTATTAGTCAGAAAACTAAAAAATGCACTTTTCATAGAACCATGGAATATCTCAAGTTAGAAGGGACCCATAAGGATCAAGTCCAATTCCCTGCTCCTTGCAGGACTACCATACGACACTAAACCATATGACAAAGAGCATTCTTGACTTCTTTCATGAAAGTATCAGTAAAAAGAAAACATTCTTGCAAACCAGTTTAGGATTTCCCAGCAAAAAATTCCTTTGCGCATGCTGACCAGTGCTACCAATTTGAGCTGATCTCTGAATAAGAGGGGAATAAATACAGCTTCCATCCTTTTTAACGTTCCCAGTGCTCCCCACTGTGGAAGCATGAGGAGTTGCTTGGCACTGAGAAATGCCAACACAGTTTCACACAGCACAGAAGTGATGGGGAAATGGGGCCTGTGCTTGGCGGTACTGCTTTGCCAGCCGGGTCAGAGTCCTTCCCCTTTCTAGACCCCACTTCTCTCTCACGGAGCCTCTTAGCTGCAGGTTTCCCAAGCAAGAGGAGCACTACAAGGCATTTTGCTTTAGCAAGTGGTAAGCATTGCTACCTGCTGCTGTTACCCACTGTGAGAGTAGTTTGTGGGACAGTTTGCTGGTTACTCCAGTGCAGCCCAACAAAAGGAAGGGACCGATGCTTATCCATGTTTATGACCTGCTCCTGTGGCCGTGCCGGGGAGCTGGAGGTTATAGAATCAAAGAACCACAGAATACGCTGAGTTGGAAAGGACCCACAAGGATCATCAACTTCAACTCCTGGCCCTGCACAGGGCATCCCAACAATCCCACCATGTGCCTGAGAGCATTGTCCAAATGCTCCTTGAGCTCTGGCAGCGTTGGGGCTGTGACCACGTCCCTGGGGAGCCTG